TATTTTAGATGTAGGAAAATTATTTTTAATGTCTTTAAGCAAAGACTGGTTTAATAAAAAATAATAACAGTAATGATTTGTTTTTGAACAAAATTTAAAATAATTTAATATAATTTTTTTACGCAGTAGCAAAATATAAACAACAAATTAGATGTCAAAATTATTTATATTAGATCCTATTTAAAAATAATATAGTTTTTAAATTTTTTGGCAACGTTGGTTTATTAAATAATAATAATTACAGAACTAATTTGTTATATTAACAACAAACTTTAAAATCATGAAATATAAACATTTATTAATTTTCTAAGCATGCAGTGTAATTGGAAGGAAAATATAAATAAAAAATTAGAAATCAAAATTATTTATATTAGGTACTTTATATTACTATTTAAAAATAATATTTATTTTTACTGGCATTTACTTTAAAAAATAAATGAAATATTTCTTCGCAAAAAACTACATGTAAGAGAATTAGCATAAACAAAATACAAACATCGTTAACTTTTTTTTTAAATTGGCACGTGTAAAACTTTCAATTTAATTTTCTCACCCCATAGTTTGAGTTCGATAACCCCATTTACTTAACCACATTACTTAAATATGATTATTAAGTTCAACCAATTCATATTATTAAAACATCTAAAATACAAATATGTATTTTTAAAATTAATTCTAAGTTCATCTCATCTCTCTTAAAAATTGCTACTTTTCAAAATTTCCCATTAAAAAATAGACCATATACCATATAAAATAAAATAATTGAAAGATCGGGCTACGGAAAATCACACAAATTTTCGAAAAAATTTTGACCACCTGCACACGCACACAATCGTCAATTAAAAAAAACTACTATTTTAGCATTTTAAATATTTTAATAAACGCAAAAATAGCACAGTATTTATAAGGCGAAGTTATAAAAATTTGGAAGAACTAATAATGCACTCACGCACACAAAAATCAAACGAATACTAAATTTCATTTATCAAAAGCATTCGATAGTCGTGGCTCAACGATAACCATTTAGTCGCACGGCGAGGTTGTCACATATGCTTTAGTATACAAATGAATGAATGATTTTATTCGAATAAAACCATTCGATAGTTGAAATCATTCATTCAGTAACCATTCGATAGTCTAATTCATTCGATAGTTCCCATCGCTAATTTAAATTGAATTCTGGTTGTCTTGACTTGAGGGAAATGATATTGATTTAAGTCATTTTACTGACTTAACTTGCAGATTATCATGATTTAAGTAAAAATACTAAATTAAAAAAAAGACTTAAATAATGTTATATTGATTTAAGTTTTACAAAAATGACTTGACTTGAAAGAAAATGACTTAAGTCAAAGACTTAAAACTTAAGTCATTTGAACTTGTTGAATTTGACTTAGGCTTAAATCATTTTGATTTTAGAAATGACTTAAGACTTAAGTCTTTTTAAAACTGACTTGTTGCAGTTCTGATTATTTTAAATTTTTTAAATAAATGCTTTATTTACGTGTATTTTTTTGTTTTTTACATATGGACATTGTGGAGTTTATGTACAAAAAAACGGAGTTGATTATAAAGTTCCTTTTGTAAAAATCTGTGACGTTTTAAAGATCATATTATTATTAAAAAATTAAATTCTCGAAAATTTGGACTTGGTCACTTTCTCTTGTATACTGATGATAATAATATATTTTATGATCTAAAACTAATATTAAGACTTAGATTTGACTTAAGATTTCAGCAACATAAAAACACTAAATCACCACAATACACCAAAACACTTTTACTTTTACACTGGACGCGCGTTTCGCTAACCATGTTAGCATCATCATCAGATTATAAAATGATTAAAAACAGTTTATAATCATCTGCTGATGATGCTAACATGGTTAGCGAAACGCGCGTCCAGTGTAAAAGTAAAAGTGTTTTGGTGTATTGTGGTGATTTAGTGTTTTTATTTTGCTGTGTAACACCAAAGGTTCCAACCCTCAACTGTAATCTTAAGATTTCAGTTATTTGATCTAAGATTTGACTTAATATTAGGATTTAGATATTTCGACTTAGATTACAGTTGGGGGATGGAACCTTAGGTGTTACAACAGCAAATTAAAACACTAATTCACCATAATATACAAAAACTCTTTACTAACACTGGGCGCGCATTTCGCTAACCATGTTACCATCATCAGTAGATGATTAAAACTGAGTTTAATCATCTGATAATGCTAACATGTATGGCGAAAGGCGCGTCCACTGTTAAAAATAAAGTGTTTTGGTGTATTGTGTGGAATTCGTGTTTTATTTTGCAATTAATTTACTGTTTTTTTGTAGTTTGGTTTGGTTGGTGGACAACGATTCAGTATTGTCCTGAATTATTTCTGACTTCCATTGTGTTTATTTTAAATTACATATTTCTGTCAGATGTATCACTGACCATTATCTATTGTAAACAATGTAAATCAGGGTTGTCTCTAGAAATTTTTTGAGTACATCAAGCAATCTTAAAGCATATTCAGTTGAAAATGTGCATCTCATTTGCTTAGACATGATGGGGGGGGGGAGGCTCATCGATTTGCAAATATAAATTGTATCATAGATCTAAAAATATAATTTTTGTATTATTTCAAATTAAATCTGAAATGTTTTCCCTAGTAGCTTTCTCTTTTTTCATCAATACAGTGGCATGCGGTAAACTTTTCAGAAGGGGAAGCGATTTGATAAAGGTAACAAATAAAGTTGATAAATATTTTGTCTACCTATAGACATTCGAGTTCATATACACGTTCGGTAATTGAAAAGCTAGCAGGCCAATTTACGTGCAGTGGAATGAAACGCCTATAAAAGTTTAAGCTTAAACACAGATGAACAACAACTTCCCCGTTTCCACTTCCACTACGACTGTCAAGTTCGATAAACTCTAATAAGACAACAAATTTTGGAAATGCCGCCGCCTCCCATTCACCTGCCCTTTATCGCCATTAATATTATTACTTCTTCCGCGTGTCCTAGTCGCGCCAGCGCAGCGCGTCAGTCCATCACAGAGTTGCCAGGTCTACCGGTTTCGTCTGTAAGCTACCTATCTACCGATTTAAACAAAAATCTAATGATATGTTCAACTGCGTCTTTAGTCTTTACAATGGAATCACTTTTAATAATTTGACAAATTTGGACTAAAAATTAAGCGACCATCGCGTCGTAAACCGTATAATCTGACATTCGTAAATATTATTGTTTATTAAATTTTGTTTAGAAATTATAGGTCATCCTTCTCTCTGGTCGCAGAATTACGGAAATATTCTCCAAAAAACTTATTATCCCTTATGTGCTGTGTTACCGGCATTTCCGAAGATATTTTTAAAAAATATTTTGTCTTATTCATATACTAAAGTTGAACCCACATTTCTCACCCCAAAAAAATAAACAAAAAACAAAATCTAAATTAAGAAACAAACTAAATATGGGCAAATATTTTTGTGCTTCTTCTGTCTAAAAATATATTAATAAAAAGAGAGTTGAGAGTTAACAGCTTTCTCATTGAAATTAAATTAATTCTGCGAGTATGTACTAATGAATCGACCAGAAATACCGCAGAGAGGGGAGAACTTCGGTTACAAATCGCAAAATCATTTGTCGCGGTATTTCCCTGAAAAAGTCTATTATAACGCGACTCATGTGGAACTGGTATTCCCATCACTAAATACATATCTTGTTTAATGTTCTCTAATATCGAACGAGCGATATACTTAGATTTATCGAAATATATCGTAAATCTATCCGTTACCGTTATAACGTTATTGATCTAACTTAATATTCTCATTGTTTATGTTTACATTTCCGGCAGATTCTTGATTTCTTGTTCAACATTCTCTGTACTTATGAAAAATAGAACAGTACTGGAAGCTGCTGTTCTTGGAGATATAAATGAGCTAAAATAAGATGCTATTTTACATATTTTAAATAATAGAGTAGACGCTATTGTATATCGGCCTGAGTTTTACGGACATTTTAATTTATATAATACACATGAATAATCCATGAGTAAGATGCTTTAGTTGAATTTTAGATGTACTAAAAAAAGAAGACCAGATTACTAGACCAAACTAGACTAGCCTTAAACCTAACCTAACTTAAATGCCTTAAATATATATCAAAATAAATTACATTACATGTTCCTGAGCGTATTATACCGAATGATGGTTTGGAAATGGACATCGATTACATTCGCCATATAATTTTACTTATACAATTACAGCGATCTTCATCGTTGTTATTTTCTATAGCCATCGCTGACGCAGTTTTTTTTCTCGATTATACGGTACCTAGAGCAGGAGAACACAATCAGCTTTGCACAAAAACCTGTACTGAAATCGTTTTATACAGTTTTTTTGATTTTCATATTATCATGAATTTATTTTTCTGCACCGATTGAAGCCGGTCTTCCGGTATCGATTAAAATCGGTCTTCCGGTACCGGCACCGAAACCGGTCTTGTAAAAAACGATACCGATACCGAAATATTTTAAAAGTACCGGTATACCGGAGACCGAACATGCCTACTCAATAATTCGGCTTTTCGGATAATACGGATCGGCCTTGTTTTAATTAATCCGGATTAGGTGAGCATGTATGCATCCCGGATTGTCCACAGAGAACCTCATTGGAAACAATATAAATTTTGAGAAAAAAAAAACCGTTTTTATAGGAAACAATAACATCTTTAGCAATCCAAGTATGGAAATCTGCAAGATATGGCAACCATTTATAAAACGTACGAGTGGTGGTTTACTCGGTGGACAACTTCATGCTTTACTGCATCCAAGTTTTTCTCCTCATGGGTAAATTTTCTGCTCTACTATAATATAAGCTGAGTAATTTTAGGATTTAGATTAGTTTAGACTTGATAAGGGTCAGTGATGCATCTGGTCAAAGCGTCGCGTCGTGTAGTTTAAAATAAATAGACATTGGAAGTCCATAATTCTTTTAGTATCATTAATTTACTTTTAGAACAAGGCCCTTGAATATGAAAGATAAATGTTTATGCTATATAATTGTACTTTATATGATTGCAATGGATTACGAGCTTAATTTGGATCCATTATCCAAAGATGCAAAAGTTGGGTTGAATAAAATTAAAGACTTCTCTAGAAATTTAGGATTCAGTCAGTCCAGTAAACTCAAAACCGGCATTACTTTAAAAATACCAGTACCACCACCAGTTTCAATGAATTTGAAGAGGAAACGGAATTCACTTTAAATATACCTTTTTTTAATTACCTTACCTATTTACTGTTAATATATTATGTGTATATACTATATTATACTGTTATTATACGAGATGTAAAAATAAAAATCTTTTGTAGTTTGTTTTGATGACATCTTGAAATAATAATTCAGTTATTTAAGATTTAGTTTATTTAACAAATAAAATAATTGCACTGTTATGAGAGACACATTTGAGGCACCTATATACAACATTAATAACAAACTAAGACTAGATTTTAATATTTCTCTAAAATTAATTATGTTAACAGAATATAAAGGCGCATTCTCACGACTCGTCTACTTGGCAAGTATTTTTTTATTGGCATACAGGGTCTGGCGAGAATGCGGCGTAGTTCCTATAATAAATTAGAAATTCTGTATAGATGCCCGACGCACCATGTATACCCTGTATAGAAATTATGTATACCCACCACCATGTATACCCCAATTAGAAATGTTTGTCAAGTACAGGAGTCGTGAAAATGCGCCATAATAGAAAAATACTATGTATTAAATCAAAGTAATACTATAAGGGTGGGTCAAATTCGACGCTTTTAAAGGGAAACACTCTTTTCTATAGAAGATAGACGAAAACTAATATATGTCTGGAGCTCAATTTTTGTCAAAAACATGATGGTGAAAACCGCATATCGATATCTGTTATCGTTTCGGAGTTCCGGGGTGTTTCTCAAAAATATGCATTTTTAACAAATCGCTGTAACTTTTTTGCTATGGAAAATTTTGTATTTTTATGAAAACATTTCCAAAGCACCTTTTTACGTAGAATTTAATGGTTTAAGTATAATTTTTTTAAAATTAATAATTTACGAGTTATTAATAGAAAAGTTGATTTTTTATTTGGGACACCCTGTATATTTTTAATTAAATGGAAAGACCTTAAAATTACCTTTCCAAAAATATACCACACTTGATATTTTGTTATAGTCTCCTTCGAAATACAGAATTTTTAGAAGTTTACCACTTTTAACTAGTAGGCTTTGGACTCCTTATTGATGATAATGCCCCTAAAAGAAATATAACTAGAAAACATATTTTTCCAGCAAGACAAGGCACCGCCTCAGATCGCTGAAGTTATTAGCAAATTTTTGCAGCCAATTTAGAGAATAATTGAATAGCTAACCAAGATCTCAGCCGTTGGCCATCGAGGCCGCCGGACTTAGTGCCTATGAATTTTTCTTTTCTGAAGAATAAAGGTTCTTATTTTTAATTTGCCCGTATAATCTAGACACGAATTAGAAGTCCTTAGCGGTTATGCGAGGTTATCTTTCACCCCTACTGAGTTAATGAATTCCGCGAGAACTGTTCAAAAACTGCCCAGTCTGTCCATAACAGAAGACGGTCGATAGGTCGAACACTTGTAGTAAAATGCCATGTCTTGGTTTGCTATTTATTTTTATTGTTATTAGATATAGTTTAAATGTGATGATGTTGATTAAATATAGTTTAAATTGTTATAAAATTCTGCATCTCTCATTGCAAATATTACTTTTGTTTTAATTGCACACAGCTAGAATTTGTTTGCATTACAGCCGACGCCGTTCATAGCCTGCTTATTTAAAGTAGGCGAATTTTTATAAACTCTATATCTCGAAGAGGAATCGAGCAAAATATCAAGTGTGCTATATTTTTGGAAATGTAATTTTAAATTCTTTTCAATAAATTAAAAATATACAGGGTGTCCCATTTAAAAAATCAAATTTTCTGTTGATAATTCTTAAATTATTAATTTAAAAAAATATATACTTAAACCATTAAATTCTACGTAAAAAGGTGCTTTGGAAATGTTTTTATAAAAATACAAAATTTTCCATAGCAAATAAGTTACAGCAATTTGTTAAAAATACAAATTTTTGAAAAACACCCCGTAACTTCAAAATGGTGACAGATATCGATATGCGGTTTTCACCATCATGTTTTTGACAAAAATTGAGCTCGACACCGATATTAGTTTTCGTCTATTTCCTACAGAAAAGGGTGTTTCCCTTTAAAATCGTCGAATTTGACCCACCCTGTACATTTAAAAAATATCAGTTTTATACAGCGGTAATACTAAAATAAGATTGCCACAGACTAATTTACGCAGATGCGGCAAACCATGCAAATGTGAAAATTGTAGAAATTATATTTTGACGAATTCGCCGAGCTCAATTTTTCAGTTAATACGTATAGGCGAATTTTGCAGGGGACCAGCAAAATATCCTGCCGTCGATTCTACCTACCTACAGCAGCCACGCCTCTCCTTTGTGAAGAAATTAAAAAGAGTTAATTTCAGAATCAAATAATTATTTTAATTTAATTTGTTTTTTTTAAGTTTTTAAACATTAACAATAATTAATGGCAAATACATTAGCGTAACTAGCAATTTATTCCGGGGTGAGCCTGGGCGGGGGGTTGGGCACAGGGGGGCCTATGGTGTTTGTTTTTTTAAAAATGAAAAATAATTAAAAAAACACACATTTTTTGAATAAAACAAAATAATATTAACTAAACAAAACTAAAAAACGTAATTTTTACTGCATCACAAGCAAATAAAAATTAATACGTAGCCAAGAGTCATAATACAGGATTTTTCTGGGGGGTGCCCAGCAGTACCTGGGGTGGGCCGGCACCCCCAGGGCAACCCTGTTTTTACGCCAATGGGCAAATAATAATTAAAAAAAACATACTATTACCATTTTTAAAATGTATAATTATTTATTTGTTATTTGATATTTTTTGTAATTTTTTAATGAACATTACGAATAATTTCTTCACAAAAATTTTCTGTGTTTTTCACCATTAGAAGAAAATCTGCGAAATAAAATAGTTATTTTTGGTAAATATCGCTGCGTTGGTCCAACGGAGACCAATTTGTCAGCGGTTATATTACTAATAACAAATTTGTCTAGCGGACAGAAAATGCTTAACATTTCAGGAAGTATATCTTTTCGTCGTTTAAGCAAAGAATATTATAGTTAACACAATAGAAAACCCATCCCGTGTAAATTTTTTGGAACCAAAAAGGAGCCCGGCTTTTTGAGCCGGGATCCATCGAGGCGCAGCAACGTTAAAAAGCGATTCCTTGCTTGTCTATGTTGCCAAATCGTACGCCAAATGCTACCGGTACAAGCGGCGGCCCGACGGCGATTATCAAAGCCTTCCATATTCCCCCGCACCTCGTTTTGAAGGCTTCGTGGTGTGCTCATTTTTTATATTTTCAATTGTAGATTTTGCTTTAGTATTTTGAATTATTATATTTTGATTTAAGTTTTTGTGTTTTAAAAATATGTCGGGCAATGTATATCAATATTACAATTGTTGCAGACTATCAAGGAGGGACAATCCTAATTTAAAAATGTTTATGTTTCCATATAAAAATCCAGGTATATGCGAACGTTGGATTTTAAATTCGGATAAGCCTATCAGTTCTTAATTAATCGATTTCAAGTCAACCCAAACTACATATTTTTTGTATATTAACTAAGGGAAAATATGGCAAAACATTAAGGTGATACATATCTATAATTTCTATTTATTAACTTGGGAAAATATTACTTTGTGTTTTAAGAGAAGTTTGCAAACGTGTTCAGTACTAGATTTTTTCTATTTTTTAAAAATTAGGAAACTAATAAAGAGGTTTATATAAAATTTAAGGAACTAATTACGGGTTTAAATATATATGTATATACATAAATTAATTTTTTTTACATAAATAAAAATCTAATTAGTTAAAAATAATATCTATATACCTTTAGATTTTATATCAAAATATAAATAATAAATATCGGAAAAAGAATAATAATAATATAAATATAATATAAACAGGAAAATGATCTATTTTTCTTTTTTTTTAAATAACTATTTTATTTTGTAGATTTTCTCAGTGCTAGTGGGGAATACCCAGAAATATATTAATTAATAATATACGTTTGCTTAAGAAAATCTCAGGGTGATTCTAAAACATTTCAAAAGCCTTAAATTTTATTTCAATAGTTGCAAATTAGTAATATTATTTTTAATGTATTTTTGGAATTTTAATATACCGGATGTTAATCAAAAGTGGCTTACTCTAGATTGAAATTTAAAATACGATTTTTTTAAACAAAAATGTCAAAAGATGATATATGATATGTCATTCTATGTAGAGTGTCATTTTGTATCGAATAAAGCAAAATATCGAGGTTGCCATTTAAAAATCAAAAGTTGTAGTTATTTGCCGTGAAACAGAAAAAAAAACTTTTTCCAAAAGATATTTATTTTTTCGAATATTGAAATATTTTAATGAATATAAAGGACAAAAACATTTGGTTCTTAAAAGAAAAAGCAAAATTATAGCGAAAAGTGCTATTTCGATTTGGCTATGTAGTAAGGAAGAAACATGCTACCCACACAAACTTTTTTTAATAAATGATTTAATTACCACTATATAATATTGTCAAGGTCAAGGGCTAGAATGTATTACTGGTTGCCTGCACAACCGCAATGTGTCAAGAAAAATGGCGTATCCGCCAGAAATTAAAAATGTATTACTGGTTGCGTGCACAACCGCAACGCCAGAAATTAAAAGACTTTTTCAGGCGCCATCTTTTAGTCAAGTCGAGAAGTAAGGGAATCAGACAATGGAATTGTCTGGTATGAAGAAGTACGCTTTCCGAGAATTGGGGAAATTTCGAGAAGCAGTCAATAGAGTATATAAGCCGGAGCCATCGACAACTGAGACAGTTTTTGAAATTTGAATATACCGCGTGGAAATTGAAAATCGGACAATTTGGTGAAGGAATCTTATAAATAGTTAGTTTGTTGTGTGTTATAAGTTAGTAATTGTGTATAAAGTGAGAAAATAAATTCGTTAAGTATTTTATCGTGAGTTTAAATTAGTGGACCCACGGAATCCGTAGCAATTGGTGTCAGAAGTGGGATTCAAGAGGATTTTAAGAAGAAATTAAGTGGATTGGAAGATTTTAGACCGAATTAGAGTATTTTTATGGTTGGTACAAGGGAGCAAGCGAAGAAAATGGAGGAAGTAAGCAAATTATTGGGCGATTTTATGGAGAATATGAGAAGAGAGAAAGCAAAAGATAA